CCACTTGGATTTTAATACCGAAGAATTCCGGCGAATTAATGCTGTGCGAAATGTTGTACGTCAAGTCATCAACACTATGCAGCTTCTTATCAACCAAATAGCACAACAACAAACTATCTGACTCCTCCCCAAACTACAAAGTTTTGAAACAGATGAAGATACGAAACCTGGGCTCTTTAACCAAGGTACCTTTGCTTTACAAAAATGATGTTATCTTACCTGTGACAGAGAGGAAGGATGCATGCTTCCAAAAAGCGGCACAGGACCTTGAGGCATTCCAGGATTGAGAGCTGCATAGGTATTCCTTAAAAATCGCCTTTGAAAAAATTTTTTGTTTCAAAGATTACCAAGATCAACAGGGAAATCATTTTTAATACATTTCAATTGAAGAATACGTCTTTCAATCGCTAAATAAGCTAACAGGATATTTTCATTAATAGTCTTCCGTTATAAACTACTGGGGACAAAAAGAATCTCTGTAAACGTTGCTTGTCAATTTCCCTTACACTTCCACGAGCGGACTCAATTTGCGGCACTCTCTCTTCAAAAAGGTTGAGCGAAAGTAAGTTGGCGAACAATGGATTTTGCAAGTGTCGATTAATTCCACGTGGTATCAGTTAATCATGAGCTGAGCTATCCTTGTGTTAATCAGCAAGCCAGTTTAGGTACCAGACTCTTTACTGTTGCATATAATTGTTTTAATTACACTGAATATGACAGAATTGCTTTAATAAAGGTTCAAACTGTAAGATAGTGATCATCTACTAAGGTCGCAACAGAATCTGTGAATCACTACCTAACGCTCCACGCCTCCTGTTGTCGCATCTTCATTGAGTCTTTCCGCATTCTGTCATTGTAATAGGGTCTCGTTCGGCCAGAGGGAATCGATTTCAGGTCCACTTCTAACTCTGGATCGACTTTTTTCTAAACAAGCAGACATTTTTTTATGAAAAGCAACATCGAGCAGAACATCGAAATGAAAAAATTACTTTGTACTGAAGACGGTGACGACGACCTTTCAAGTGCATCTCTTTAGCGTTAGCGTCATTGAAACGGCAGTCACACAACTTGCAGTAGAACTGCGCTATTTTACCGTCTTCACATAAGACAGTTTCGATATACGCCTCTCCGACAGGCTGCACATCTTTTTCCATTCCGAGCATCGTTACCTGACCTATGTTATGAAAAGAAATGATAATTTAACGATAATTCAATGGCCAGTGGCGGTGAAATACCTCGGTCCGTAGAAGCCGGTATCGACTCGTTCACACGAACAGTTTCGCCGAGTACGGGTGAAACTAAAATGATACTCATTTTCACGATGATCATTTTTACTTATGTTCAGTCACCACTCAAACACACGGTACTTTGTGACTTTTCTCCTACCTGAATTTGGCTTCTTGACATTTGCGGTAACGGCCGTCTTTGGCTGTTGCGAAGGAGGTATGATCGTGGGTTCGCTGCTAGGTATCGGTTTGCCAAGGGTCTGATGCAATTTCAGCGTCTACAATATAAAACTCATCCAGGTTCATCACTTTATCCTTAACATGACAGATTACAGCTTTGGACATAAACTACCGAAGCTTATTTCCTTAATGTGAAACGGGTATATCAAATTTCAAATCTGACGTCGCCAGAAAAGCTTGGTTTAATACTTCCAACAACAAGAATTCAGTCTGATGTCTGACATGTCGCCAAATCAGGAATTCATTGACTTGCACTATATCCGGCTATGATCAGCTGCTTGATATAAATTTTCGCAGCAAGCTATTAAAATTCTCAAGACGATTCCAGGCTTTAACAGGGATGGAAAACCTACTTCAAACCTACCTACTAAACCTTTAACCTACCTTACCTACCTAAAATTTAATTTCAAGTTTTTTTCACCAACATCTTTTATGCGGCTGGAGGCACAGCAGTCACATGCTTCGACTACTTGAACAAAAACTGATTCTGGTCAGTAAGCTTCTCATATTTTCTCGTACTATCGTATGAAAGTAGATACGACACCACGAAATTAAAGCTTGAAGTAAGGAGGCGCTAAAAATCCGAAAGAACAGCATATAACTCGATCACAGCCGTAAACATACAGCATAAGGATATTCTTCAGCGTTCCTCCGAATTTAACGTACATTATTCATTTATAACGTCTGCATTGCCTCCCCTAGGGAGAGGCGAAGTTTGGGCATTCGATTTGTGCTTTAAAAACAGATCAGACAGCAGAACAAGTACTTGCTGCTCAAGACAGCATAAGCGGTTAAGCGTCGGACACTAAACATTGAGGACATTAAATATGATCAGAACCTTCGATTTATAAGGAGCGCTTTTGGCCGATAGCATCGAAAATATCATACCTGTACTACAACCTCTAAGAAAGTAGATAAACGAAGTGCAAGTGTCTACTGTGAATAGGATGTACCACCGCACCTCGTCGCACTGGGTTGAACAAAGGCATGTTCATGCACAAACTGCACTCCAAGAAGGCAAATACGTACAAGATAACGAAATACAATCCTGATGTTTTGCAGCAGTCTCCACGATTGGGAGTTTTTCGATACTGCCTGTCAATATATTACTACAAATTATGATACAGGTTTTAAACGGAGAAAAATCAATGTAAAGAAAAAAATTATTTCTTACTTTCCACTGGCACTTCGTGAGTAGTTTTTTGCTCAATCCAAATAAAAAACGCGGCCAGGCGTTTTATACACCACAGATGCTCAAAACCATAACCTGCTAAAATGGTCCCTCTACGTTACTAGAAGAAGAGGAGCGGCGCAGTATTGTCGTGTTGCCAGGTATAAAACTTCTGTCTGACTTACGGTATTGCAGTGCCGGTGTAAAGTAAGAAATAAAATTTTCATTTTTTACACAACGTTTCCGACGTTAAAATCCGGTTTCATTATTTGTAATAAAATACATACAACAATTATGACCTCAAGATAAAAGAAGAGCAGTGTGGCTTCCGGGCCGGTCGAAGCACCTCTGACCATATATTTGTCCTGCGCCAGATTGCTGAGAAATCGTGGGAGTACGCCCAGCCGCGATACATGTGTTTTGTGGACCTAGAAAAAGCGTTATGACCGGAACCCATGCAAAAGTCTGTGGACATGCCTTCGTGCATACGGGATAGATGGCCAGCAGCTAAGGCAATCACTGTATTCTGATAGCAGGAGCTGCGTCTGAATTAATGGCGTGAAGTCGAAACCATTCAACGTTCGCACTACTCTCCGGCCAAGGCTGCGTCCTGTCCCCTATCCTGTTTGTGTTGTACATGGATAGAATAGTCAGGAGCTGCCAAGGCGATGAGGATAACACTGTAGGAGATGTGAAGTCGAGAAGGTTGCTGTTTGCAAACGAACTTGTTTTATTAGCATCTTCAGAATCTGATTTTCAGTACTCCCTAGAAAGATTTGCAGCCGAGTGCC